AGCAGAAAATAAAGACGATGGGTGGTAAGGACAAAAATTTGGGCCACAAAGGGTTAATGGACCACATGGAGACAAAAGAAAGTGAAGGTAAGGTAAGAAGTAAAGATGTGGGAGAGGAAGAGATAAGGGATGAAAAGGATAGAGAGAGAAACAGTGAGAGTAAAGATGAAAGGAGAAAGAAAGACAACATGAAAAGTTATAGGAAGGAGAGAGACTCCAAGGACAGCATGGTCACAAGTCTGCCAGGTAGGAAAGAGGACAGGTCTGATGAAATTGGAGCCAGCATCAGGGACAAGAGGGCGGTGAGTAGAGATGGGAGAGGGAATAGCAAAGAGGGTATTAGCGGGAGGAACAGGAGTGAGGGTAGCAGAGGTGCAAAAGGAGACAGTTATGGTAAACAGAAAGATACGCTTATGATTGTAAGAGATGGTTTAAACAGCGGACGCAGAGACAGCAGGCAAGGAAGCAGTGAAAGGTGTGGGGGGAAAGAAAGCAAGGTTCTTAGAAAGGAGAGGAATGAAGGTAACAGTAGCAAGGATAGAAGTGGAAGCATTAAAGTTAAAGATTCTAGAGATAGGGGAGATGGCGATAGGGTAAGGGAGAGCAGCAAAGATGGGTCAGGAAACAAAGGACAGAGAAACAATGACAGTAGCAGGGGCGGTCGTAGGGTGGAGCGACAAGAAGAAAGAGTTTCTGTCAGTGTGCGGAGCAGACTTGGTGCAGAGTATGGAGAAAAGCTTAGGAAAGAACGTCTTGACATTCAACATTTAAGAGAAGCTACAGAAAGTTCAAAATCATACAAAGATAAAGTAGTAATTTCCAAGTCAAATATTGGAGATTCAAGTAATGCAAAGATGATGGTGAAGGAAAAGCACAAGAGTGATGAGAGTAGAAATAGAATTAAGAATAAGAAGGGAAACATCAGTCCCAGTAGTGAATATGCACAAGAAAGTCTGAAAACATCAAAAGTTGCCTCATTAAGTGATAAGAACCTAACAGACAAAGAAAAGTCAAAGAAAGAACCTAAAAGTGGCAACCATCTGGAAAAAGATGATCCAAATCCTGATAAAATGTCCAGCTCCTTAAACAATGTAGCCAGATCAAAGGAATCCTTTAAGGTTAAGGAAAAAACTCATTCCATTTTGAGGGACAACAGTGGAGAGTCTGGAAGCAAAGATAAAGAGCTTGAAAAGACTTTAAAACTGAAGAAAGCTGCATCTGGCAGTGATGGAAAAAAATACAGACAGGAAGGGGGTGATTTCAACCAATCTGAAATGAGTGCAAAGTCCTCTACAAATAAAAAACATGGCTCTGGGGAAAAAATCTCCGACACAGATTCAAAGGTAAAAACTGGAAGTACAGCTAAAGGGACTAATTCCGATGGCCTTGGTGGCCTTGATAATAAAATTTCAGCCCCAGTTAGTAGTAGGATAGGTAAGGAAATGCTTGCAAGTGCTGAAGGTGCCAGTGTTAAAAAAAGTGTTAAACGGAAAAAGAAAGTCATGAAAGGGGGTGATGGGATCAAGAGAAGGTGTGATTCTCCATCAGACAAGAGCTTGGCTGTTCAAAGTGAAGATGGGAAAAAGAAGAAGAAAACTAAAAAGGAAGAGGGAGTATTTAAAAACAGATAACAGGATGAAGGGATTAAATTTTGGGACAAACTTAGTTGTGGTTTAACCTAGGTTTAAAAATAGCTTTAGATTGGTACATTCATTGAAAAATCCAGGTTATGAGTTGGTTCTCTTATTCTTATAATGTTTATTTTTGTCTTTCAAACTAGGTTTTTAAAAAAAAAAAAAAAAGAAGAATTTCCTTCCACTTTAACAGTTTGCCTCAGTTTGATCTTCAGCATGTAGTAAAATAAACCCTTGAGTTTAAATGTAACTAAGTAATAGAGTGTGACACAGGGCCGTGGGACTCACTTATTGATGTTTCAGATGACTCTGTGTCATATTCAAGTCACCAACACGTAGTGTAGATATTTTCTTGTCATGCCAATATAGTGCCGGTCCTGAGTTTCTTGGCACACCATGTTGAATTCTTCAGTGTGCATTTAGAAACAAAATTCCATACCGGTATAAGTAAATACGGCCTCAACTATTATTTTGACTGCTGTCAAACCTTAGGGGCCTCAATTTGCTCAGCACCTGACAGTGCCAACTTCAAGCCAGCACTGTATAGGTTATTTAACTTGTCAAAATGATTTCAGGAAAAGCATTATGAAAATAATTAATATCTATATGTTTATTTCAACAATGTCATCATCTGCAATAAATATGATTTTTAAAAAAAAAAGTTTTTATGTTCCCTTCAACATCAAGAGTTTATTTCAAAGAGCATTTCTGATAACTTTTTTAAAAACTGACATCTAGCATAATTTTAATCACTTAATAAAGCTCTTCTATTGGGTCATGTTAACTCAATTGTACAAATAACTATTGATATCTATTTTATTATGTCAATATTTTGATCGCAGAACTACAATTAAACTATTTTATTTAAGTAAACTGTAATATTTTTTACAACTTTTTCTAATCAGCTCTTGTAAAGGTACAATTTTTCTTGGGGAAACATTGACAGATCATTGGGACGAAGTTATAAAAAAAAAGATCCATGGAACTCTTGGTGTTGATTGTTGCATGTGTGTTGAGAGGCTTTCATGTTTGTTTGAAAGGAGGAAAGGAGTGTAGGGTGAATTGTTCATGCCAAAAAAGTTGAATAAGTTGTATGTACCATTCAACTTGTTTCATAGGGTGAGAAAGATGTATTTGCTTTTATCCCATAAATGCTTGTGAAAATCTATTGTTGTTAAGGCGGTCTGAGAAAGGAAAATTTTCAGTGCAAAGGTTGGATGTTATTTTATTTGGCAATGGTTTATTCATAAACAGAGTTACCGGTATTAAAAGTAAGCAACACAATTTAGAGTGGCTGGCACTTACATAGTGTAAAACTTGGATTTTTTTGTTTGTTTAAAGATAGTTTTGGAGCTTGAGAAAATAAGATGAATAAATCAATAATTTAAAATTAAATTCTCTTTTATGCACTAGCTATTATGACTAGTGTAGGCTACACTTATTTCACTGTCAAATTTTGAGCTGTTTAGCCCAAATCAGTATGTTATAATACCGGGTATATGTGTGTGTGTATATATGTGTGCATTTATATGTATGAATATGTTAATATATATAAACACAAACTCACAATTTTTAACCCATGAAATGAAACTATGTGATTATCAATTATATATAAAATTATTCAGTTCTGAGTAGGCATATTATATATGAAATGATTTTTAATTTTTTTATGTACAGCTAATGTTATTGATTGTAATATATATATATATTAATTAATGTTAGGCCTGGCCTTTATAACATGTATTTCAATTTTAGTAATTTTATTATGTTTGCTGTAAATACATTTCTTCAGAAACTTCAGGAATTTGACTTTTTTATTATAGAAATAGAAAATTTTTTTTATTTATGTTAATTTAATTCCTTTGAATAAGTTAATCTGGCATCTGTCTGTCACAATGTGACGATGGTGCAGACTTCGCAGGATGAAATCAGAAGGCCTGGGACTTTTCTTTAGGAGTATGAGCTGGTTCCGTAGACAGAAAATGGCCTCTCTCAACGCATCTGGATAACCCAAGGGAAAATCATATGTAGATGATACAGCATGGCATCAGTGGCATTGCATGAGTTGTCTGAAATTTTTATTGTGTCAATGTTATCCGCCTACGGGACTCCATCAACAAGTTTTTAATTCAGAGTTTTCTTCTCTTAGTCTTAGATTTAGATGAGTTGCCGTCCAAGGTTCACTAACGAATTCTATCCATCTGGGGTGCTGGTGATGTTTCTGCTTGACTGGGTCTTTGGTGGGGTTTGATTCCAGACAAATGGCTTGGGATTGACTCAGTTTAGGCCACCCATCAGTGAGTTATCTAACGTAAGTTATACCGGGAATGTACCGATACAGGAATCTTAGTGTAAACGCTTCCCTCAGAAGGTTAGATTGTTTTCTCAAATATTTTTATATCACAACCCTCATGTGACGCTGTTGTGGTTGATGTCCACATCTTCCCGTACAGTGTGCCGATAATTATTACAGAAGTAGGTGGGTTAAGTGATGAGGCCCTTATGTTATTAATATTAGGGGAGACATACAAAGTTTTCATTTAAATAACTTCCCCTATTAAATCTAAATGCAGGCACCTATAATTCCAGATATTGTTCTGTACTTCAAACTTTAACTACAGTAGCTATGTGAGAAATTCTTCTGCAACCGTCATATAAAGTTTAAATCAGAGATATTTTATTAAAAAAGACATTTTGTGTTGTAATTTTTAAAAAAAAATCTTTAAATTAAATGGGCATCATAAGCAGGTTTTTTTTTCAGCTATAAAGCCAAGTGCCCCCACCCCCCCCCACCACCCCGGAGCAAAAATATGTTCAACAATAAATCAACTGGAACTGCTGGCACTCCCCCCCCCCC